GCTGGGTGGGTGAGGAGATGCCAGGGTCTCCCCTCCTACTTATCTCCCCCCCCTTAGGGCTCCTGCAGACACCCCGTGGTCATGGGGCTGGGGGCTCCCCATCCCACTGAACCCCTTCCCTACCCCTGCCCAGGCTGGTGCCTGCTGCAGCACGGCCCCGCTGCCGGGGGGGGGCAGCAGGGAGCTGGGGAAGGGACCCAGGGCAGCGCCCGGGAGCTTTGGGGCTGGGGAAGACCCAGGGCGGGGGGGGCTCACCCTCTGCCCCCCTCCCTCACAGGACCCTCCTGGGGTCACTGCCTGGGTGTCCTTGCACACACCCCCCGCCACCCCGGACCAGTTGCATCCCTCCCCAAGTCCCTGCATCCCTTTTTTTGGGGGTGACCCTGGCATCCTGCCCTGACCCCAAAACCGTGGCGTGGGGGGCAAAGGGCTTCATTGATGCTCTTGGCTCCTCCAGCAGTGCCCAGCCCCACGGCGGAGCACCCAGCTCGGGGGACACTGCCACAGCCCAAGCCCCCCAGTCACCTGGAGGGGGACCTTGGTGCCCAGCCCCTACTTGGTGTGTGGGTCCAGGTGCCGGTGGTGGTCACGGGGCCGTGTGCCCCGCCGGGGCCGGCAGAGGTGGGAGGGCACCCCGCTGCCCTTCCTCAGCGCGTGGGCCCGCCAGGCTGCTGCGATGCTCTCTACCTACAGGGACAGGGATGGGGGGCATCAGCATGGTCACAGCATGGTCCCCCAGCAAACCCAGCCCCAGAGCATCCTCCAGCCCCAGAGCTGAGCTGGGGCATCCCGAGGGGAGGCAGCAGCTCACCGGGATGAGCAGGTCCCGCTGGTTGTGGCTCTCCAGTGTTGCCAGCTCGTTGGGTGCCAGTAAGGGCAGGCGCAGCTCCTGCACAGGCAGGGCAGCCACCTCGGGCACTGGGCGCTCCAAAACGGCCTGTGGGGTGTGAGGGATGGGGCTGAGCACCAGGGGTGTTTGGGGAGAACACAGTCTCTGTGTCCATCACACAGTCCCAGGCTCAGAGAACTGGGATGGTGGGGCATCTGGGCACCCCTGGGGGGGCCAGCCAAGACCACCCCTCCACACCCCCCCCATCACTGCCTTGTTGCACTCACCGAGCTGACGTGTGCCCACTCCCGCACAGCCTGCACCAGGTCCAACTCGTCCACGGCCAGGCGGTCGCTGTGCAGCACCCGTGCCAGCACCACGTCGGAGAGCTCGTGGAAGCCCTGTGTCCGCACCACCGCCTGCCAGGACACCACAGCACCAGGGTACTCGTATCAGGACCCCACACTGCTCCCCCCCACACCTTCCATGGGCCATCGGACTCCCACCCTGGTGCCACCCCTGCCTGGTACCCCAGCACCCCCTGACACCTCAGCACCCCCCAGCCTCCACCTGGCTCCCAGCATCTTCTCCCCAAGCACCGTTTTCTCCCCTGCCCAGCCTCCAGCCACCCTATTTTTTAGGGTCCCAGTTCCTCCGCCCCACGTCTCCCAGAGTTCCCCATGCCATGTGCTCCCAGTGCCCAGGAATACCCCATGCCATGCTCCCCCATTGCCCCGCAGCCCTACCGCAGTGCAGCCCTCGATGAAAGCCAGGCAGTGCTGCTGGAGGTCTGCCAGCCCGTAGGTCACCGCAGCCTGTGGGACAACACAGACACCTGTGAGGGGTTCTGGGGCAAAAGGAACCCCCTGCTAAAGCCCTACAGAAACACAGGCACTCTCAGGGACTCAGGTGAGGTGAGCAGCCCCATGTGTGGGTGCGATGGTATGAGGAAGGGGCACCAAGGTCCTTCTCCCTTTGCCTGCCCCACAGCAAAGGGTTTGGTGGCTCTAACCACCCACTACTCTCACCCAGCCCCACCATCAGCAGAAAGCACCTGATTTTCCACTGCTGCTCGGGGATGTCACCCAGCCCTGGGTGGGTGGGTGAGTGGCCCCGGCATTGCTCTCGCAAGGTCACACTGCAGGAACATGAGGTCAACCACCCCCAGCAATCTTTGTGTGGGCACAGAGTAATCTTAGAGCCCCCCCAACATGTCCCATGCCCTGGTGCCAGCCTCACTCTGCCCCGTACCTGCCACTCCCCACTGCAGCTGGAATTTGGGGTGCTCTCATCCTCCCCGAGCCCTACACAGTCCCAGGGATGGCACTGCCCATCTGGGCACCAGGAGGACTTGTCCCTGTCCCCTTGTGGTGACAGCCCCTGCGTGTGGGGTACTCGAGACCAGCACAAGCAGGGCGAGCATCGCCTCCTCCTCCCCCACAGCAGGGGACCAGCATTGACGCAAGCAGAGAAGGAAGGCAAGATGTTTTCTTCAGGTTTGTTTTGTTCTGGGGTTTTGGGGTTTTCTGTTTGTTTCCTCAGGGCCAGTTTTAGCTCTGTTTACGCCGTGGTGGTCTGGCACCACATCTGGCGGGAGCTTCTGTGCTCTGGGGCCGGTATCTCACCCCGAGAGCATCGCTTCGGTCTGTGGAGATGGAAAAAATCCCCCTTCTCTGGGGAGCAGTCTTGGTCCCACCAGCAGCGTGGCAGGGCCACTGGGACTCCCCCCTTCCTGCTCTTCCCCCAGGCTATTTTTAGGTGTCCCAACTCTCATCAGGGTTTTTGAGACTGGCCTCAAAACCATGAGAGCTCCCAGAAACCCAGGGACTCCCCGTTTCATACAGATGATGGCAAGGCCCTGGCACTGGGGAGCTCTGGCCAGTCCTGCTCAGGGCAGCGTGAGGACATTTCCCTGCCAGGTTGTGGTGGCCCCAGTGTGCTTTTCATCCCTGGTACAGTGTGCCCAGGAGCTGGCAGGGCAGCTGCTGGGCCAAGGGTGGGTATGAAATTATGTCCCACCATCCAGCCAAGAGCAGGAGGGTCAGGCCAGGTCCTTCCCCAAAATCAGACAGGTTATTTTTTAATCCTCTGTGATCCCAACTGAAGTCACGCTCACCTGCAGAGCCTCGCAGACCTGCTCCACACTCAGTGTGTCCTTGATGAACTTGACGCAGAGCTGGAAGACAGATGGAGAGAGGGTGAGCAGAGCAGGGACCCAGCCTCACCACCCCCTTCCCATGACTCTCAGCACCCCCTAGACCCACATGGGACCCCCAGGACATGGGACATGTGGTGGAGGCACCTTCATCTCCGCAGGGTTTCATAAGACAGCTATGGGCTATGGGCAGTCAGCCTGTGAACTGATTCAGCCAGGGACCAAACTTGATGTGACCAAACCCCAACCCCCAACTATGAAGCCGCAGCTGGGTCACCTAACTCTGGCCAGATTGACTAGTCATGTCCTGCCACAGGGGATGGCCCTGGTGCTGGCTGCAGTGCACTGAGTGACCCAGCCCTGCCTGCCAGCTGCTCTCTGCCTGTGGCTGTTGGGGGACCAGCATCTCCAGCTGCAGCCCAAATGCAGGCAACGCAGGCGGGATGCAGCCAGACAGGCACATCGGTCAGGGAGCAGGACCTCCCTCCTGCCCATCTCAGCTGCCTTCCACACAAAAGGGTCAGAGCCCTCGGGAAACCCAAGGGGATGTGACATGCAGGGAGGAGGCATCAGCTGGAGCAGAAGGGCCCTGAGTCACTGGCGGACGGAGATGAGGTCACCCTGCAGCTGGGGACACAGCCACGGGCTTCCCCGGCTTGTCTTTGGTCAGCCCCTTCCCTCCCACCCCTCCTCTATGGCTCTCCCCACTGCGGGTTGTCCCCCCAGGGATGCATTTGCTGTGGCTGGGGTGCTGGGTCCCTCTTTCTTCAACTCCCCCTTTTGTCCCCTCCCTGCCCAGCCAGCTGTTTAATAGCCCCGTGACATGTTTGGGCTTCAGCTGGGCATGTCCCCAGTGGGTGATGGGGCAGATCTGGTCCCAGCAGCCCAGCACACAGCAGCTTGCAGTTCCTCAGCTCCTCAGAGAGGTTCTTCCCCGGCGCGGTGGGAAGGGAGGGGAAGTCCGGGCTCGCGATGGCGGGTCACGCGATCGGCCCGGCCGTAATTCAGGAATCGCTCTGATGACGTGGCCCAGCTGCCCTCCCCAGCACTCCAGCTCCCTGCCCCCTCCTCGTCTGGCTCCCACCCCTCCTTTTTGTTCCCTGCTGCCTTCCCAAAACCTTCCCGCTCAAAGCAGCACCCCCTTGGCAGCACCGTGGCTGGGGTGGGTGCTGCATGCTCCCCAGAACCGGGGCTTTCCCTACGGCACCATCCTGCCAGATGACCCGAGGGCAGCCGTGGGTGATGGCGTTGGGGCTTTCCTGCTGCCCTTTGCCATGAGGTCCCATGCCCTTGCCTGGGATTTCCCAGCCCCCACAGGGCTCTCGGTCAGTGCTGCACCCCCTCAAGGGGGATCCCACCAGAGACACCCTCCGGGATCAAGCAGCAGGGGCTGAGCTTGTGATGGATCTGGGTGATGCAGCACAGTGCTGTCCTCAGAGCCACCTCGAGACTCCAGCCATGCAGGGACTATCTTGGGGGGCGCCTCAGTATGGGGGCACTCAGGGACCACAGCCCCCAGTCTAAGCAGAGCCATACCTTGCACAGATCCTGCAGGCCATACTCCACCGACGAGGTCAGCACCTCCAGAGCCTGCAGGCAAGAGATCTTGTGAACATGCACGGCCACAGATGGACATGGCAGCCCAGGGGCCAAAGACATGTCCTCCTGCCTCCATAGGAGCTCCCCAGGTGGACCTTGGTGGCAGGGGGAAGGGGTTGCCACATGGGGGGGCGGGGTATGAAGGTGGAAGTCCCCATCCCCAGCATCCTGGGTGTGCACAGCCAACTGTCCCAAGGCTGGGGCAGACACACGTGGGACAAGGTACTCCAGATACCCCACTGTGCTAGGCTGAGACCCCACACACTCACTGCACTATTAGCCAGCCAGGAAGCATCATGCAGAGCATCCCCTCCACCTCTGGCACCCCAGGAGCTGCAAAACACCCCCTTACCCCTGTGTCCCCACCTTGTCCCTCTCATACCCACAGACCCTGCTAGCCCCATCCCCACTCACGATGTGGCTGTTGAGGGTGACGCTGTTGGTGTAGAGGAACTCGATGACGGCCAGGAAGACTTCAGGCTGCACGTTGCCCAGGATGAAGGGCCCTTGGGGTGGGATGCTGCCAGGGTTGTCCTCGCTGCCCACCAGCCCTTGGCTGAGCATCCCCTGGAAAGCCTGGCAGCGGCACGCCAGCACACAGCGGTGCGCAAACACCTTCTGCTGCTCCCGGCCCACCACGAAGGTCACGTCACTGCGAGGAAGAGGGGACCGTGAGGGATGGGGTGCGTCGGGAAGCCAGGGAATAAGATGCCTTGGGGGTGGGACATGGGCACACAGGCAGGGACCAGTTGGGTGTCTGTCCTCTCGGGCCAGCACCTTGTAGTTTTAACCCATAGGCTTTCCCCAGGCACAGAGGGTTCCTTGCTGGTGGCTTCTTGTGGCCATCTGAATGCTGCAGGTGGGGAGAGCAAGATGGGTCCTCTGGCAGCACAGAAAGCCATGGGTGCAGCACAGCCAGCCATGGCTGCTGGCACAGAGTGGGGAAAAGAAAGGCCCAAGACAGCTGGAGAAAGTGGCTTTCTCCTTTGGCACGGCAAAGCAGGGGAAAGCGTGGCTGCCACCGGGCTCAGCCTCCTTGACTCACGGGCACTGACTCATGGGCTCAGGGATGCTGAGCCTCCAGCATTGCTGCCAGCGGGGCTGGCACTGGCCCTCCCTGCGCCCCTGGGACAGGGCAGCCTTCAATGCACACTGAGGCATGGGGTCCCACTGCCCTGGTCCCCCCCAGCACAGTCCCCAGCCCCAAGTCCAGGAAAGGGAGACAGGATCAGGGGAAAGGGAGCAGGCAAAGGGCAGCCCATGTGGGCCACATGGCTATGGCCCATCCATCCCTTCGTCCCACTTCTCTCCTCCCCCACCCCAGCAGGGCAGTCAGCAGAAGACATGCCACCCAAACTGCCACAAGGCCATGCACAAACCCACCACCAAACCCTCACGGTGTCCCACAGAGGATGTGCCCACCAGAGGGAAGGGCACCTGGGTCACCCCACACGCGTATCACGGCTGGGGTGCGAAGGTAGAAGTCCCCATCCCCAGCACCCTGGGTGTGCACAGCCAGCTGTGCCAAGGCTGGGGCAGACACATGTGGGACAAGGTGCTCTGGACACCCCACTGTGCTGGGCCGAGACCCCACACACTCACTGCACTATTAGCCAGCCAGGAAGTATCATGCAGAGCATCCCCTCCACCAGGGTGCACGAGCAAAGCCCAACAGATCCTCCGTTACTGGTATTGCAAGGGGGAGTGAAAAAAACTCCTCTGTGGCTATGGTTCATGGGCCAAGGGGGCAAAGCAGGGTGCAGGATGCAGTTGTGGGATGCAAGGTCCAGGATACAGGACACGGGCTGCAGAATGCAGGATGGGTGCAGGATGATGGTTGCAGTATGTGGGGCGCAGAATGAAGGATGCAGAGCAGATTTCAGGTTGCAGGATGCAAGATGTGAGTAGCAGGATGTGGGATGAGGATGACCGCTGTTTCCCCGCTGCCTGGCGCTGTGGCTGGGGAGTTTTCACTGGGATTTCTCTTCTGGGTGGCCAAAATTTCAGCAGGGAGGGGGATTTCCTCAGATAGCACTGGCATTTGTGCCAGGCCTCAGCATGAGGCGGGCAAAGAGGACCACACAGCCAGCCAGCTGGCAGGCAGGAGGTACCGTGTAGGTGGGGGGCAGTGGAGGCAGCAACTCTCCATCTCTGCTCCCAGCTCCGGAGGAGGTGGCAGGGATGCCAGGTGCTGGGGGGCAGCTGGGCTGCCACCTGCCTTCTGGGTGTGGGGAGGTTGGAGATGTCAAAGCAAAGCACAGGTAAAGTCGAGGTGGCCGAGGAGCTGAGCACGGGGGCTGCCCTGGGGTAGGGGGAGGGCTGTGGCACCGCCACTCCTGGCAAAGGTGGGGATTTAGCCAGAGACATTGTCTTGCCCTGCTGCCACCATGCCCGAGGACAGAGGGGGTCTGGGGGACCCCTGGAGAGGCTGTCCAAGGGGGGGATGCACCCGGGCAGCCCTGGGCTCCCACTAGCCATGCAGGGTGCCCAGAGTTCACAAGCCATGTGTGCCCCACCACCTGCCCCCGGGGGGGGGTCCAAACCCCCCTGGCAGGGCTCGGGGCTGCGGGAAAGCACCGGAGTGCTTGGCATGGCTTGGGGGGGGTGTGGAGGAGTGGTGCCCCCCCTCCACCCCCTAATCCCTCACCTGAACTGGGGGTTGTTGACCAGGGTGCGGAGGGCAGCGGTGAAGGCGGCCGCTTCGCCCTGCAGCCGCGCTGAGCAGGGTCCGGCCATGGGCGGCCTCGGGGAGGGCGGTGGAGGAAGGCGGCGCAGGGAGGCAGGCGGGAGGCAGGCGGGAGGCTGGCCGGCCCAAGGAGGCCGCCGCGCCGTACGACATGGCCCATTGCTAGGGAAACCTGGCAAGCAGCGCCGGGGCCAGGCGGCCGGGGAGGCGGCGGGAGGAAGAAGAGGGGGAGGCGAGGGGGGAAGCCCACCCGTGCTGCCCCGGCAGCTCCATCCGGGAGTTTGCCGGGTGGAAGCGGAGCAGAGAGACGGTACCTCGGTATAAGCGCCGTCCCCTGCCACGGCTCATGGCACAGCCCCGGCACCCCCAGTATGGCGGCCTGTCCTCCCCGGCCGGTGGCTTTGCTGAGGAGGAGCCTGAGTATGGGGGTGAAAGGGGGTAGGCAGCTGGGATTTTGGAAGACGCAACACACTCACGGGATAAATGCACTGAGATCATCCCCCCACCACATGCACAGCCCCTCGGGAAAGCTGCTGGGTATGGCTGTTTCTCCAGCAGTGGAGCAAACTTGAGCCCAGTTGGAAGCTCTGCCCCCTGAAGTGGGGAAAGCCTTCCCTCCTGTCGATGCTCCAGGTGAAAGCCCTGCAGCTGATGTCTGCTTAGGACACAAGTGATGGCAGGCAGAAAAAAGCCTAACTAGCCTCACTTAAGCCCAAAACAAGTGCTGTGCCCAGGGATGCCCCATCCCCTTTCTCCCAAGTAGCCCATGGCCAGGGACACAGGGAGGGTGCCCACGGAGGGACCCACCGTTGCTTGCCAGCAGCAGTGGGAGGGAGAGGGAGGAGCAGGGCCCGCAGCCGACGGCAGCACCCCGAGGGAGCGGGGTCCAGCTGCCAGTGTGCTTGGCAGCGCTAGTCAGAGGCAGGCTATAAATACCTCTGACGGGAGATAGAAACACAAAAGCCGTCTCCACTTTCCTCAAATAGCTCGGCAGCCGGGCCAGACAAAGGCGCATTGACAGGGTGGCCGTGGCGTACCAGCTGGGCTGGGCTCCGCTGGCGGAGAGAAACCCCGCTCAGGGGTCAGGAGCCCCCAGAAAACCTGCCCTTGGACCAGGGCATCACGGCAGCAGGGTCCCCAGCTCGTGGTGGGGCTGTGCTCTATGGGTGCCCATCCAGCCACAGTTTTCCTTGGTGCATGGGGAATAAGTACCCAAAGAATGCAAACCTTGGGGTAAAATCAAGCTGGTGGAGGTCCCAGCTCGTAAGTTGAGGTGCAAAGCAGCAATCACAGTGGCTGTTCACCCCCTGCTCTTCCTTTGCCCTTTTAACACCAGCAACCATATCCCTGTGTCAGCACAGCTGGAAATGCAGACAGGGCAGGAGCAAAAGGGGACAGGGCTGTCCAGGGACCAGGAAACAAGGAGTTACAGGAGCCGTGCCCCAGAGCAGCCCTGGAGAGCCACAGTGTCACATAGCAACACTTCACGCTACAGGTTTGGCCCTGCTCATTGCCACCTGCAGGACCAGGGTCGGTCCCAGGCACTGAGGAGGACAACATCGGCTGGAGATAAGCCCCCTGGGTTTAACCCAGCAGGGCAGGAGTGGGGCTGGGGGTAAGTGTGGGACCTGATACAGGCAGGAGGGTTGGGAAGGCTGGAGGGGAAGGGGCCACTCACCTGTGCCAGGGGGGAAAAGGCTGGGGATGGGAGAGCAGAGGGCTGGATGGATTGTGTATGGCTGTGCTGGATCAGCCCCAGCTGGCCAAGGCTTCTGGGGATGGAGACACTGGTGAAGGGAAGGTGGATACCACGGTTCTCCAGCTCCTCTGCATCCAGCCCTGCAGTACCAGGAGGTAAAGGATTTACAGGGAGAAGCAAAAGTAGAGAGACAGTGGGATGGAGAGGCTGGGGGACAATCCACCTCCCCCTGACACTCAGAGCCACATCTCCCTTCCAGGCCACCCATATGGCTGAGCAGTTGCCCCCAGAGATGGCCCAGGTGACGGCTGCAGATGGTGCTGAAGCCCCTCCGCTCCGAGCCACCCGCCGTGGCTCCCAGCCCCCTCGGGGCACTGAGGAAGGCAAACCACCCCTCCTGCCTTCTCGCCGCAGCTCCATCCTCAGCACCCTCCCAGCAGCCCTGGCCAGCCGCCGCAGCTCGCTTGGGGCAGCCCCGGGGGGCAGGCGCCCCTCCATTGGCCCTTGGATGTTACACAGCCGCGTCAGCTTCTCTGGGCTCCCCCTTTTCCAGCCCATCCTCAAGACCCGCCTCGAAAACACTTACAGGATGCGGCCAGACGAAGGGTGCAAGTTCGATGCAGGGCGGGTGCAGAGGGTGCTGGAGGTGGCCCTGGAAGGTGCCCTGGTGACCACAGTCTACAGCCCCCAGGGCAGTGCCCCGCTAGCCCAGAGCCTGGCCGAGCTGCTGCGCAGCCGGGCAAAGGAGGTGGTGCCACCCCGCTACAAGCTGGTCTGCCATGTGCTGCTGGGCCAACAGGGCCAGCAGAGCCTGCTGGTGGCCAGCCGGGCACTGTGGGACCCTGAGAGTGACAGCTTTGCCTGTGCCACCTTCTCCAACGCCTCCCTCTTTGCTGTGGCCACAGTGCACGGGGTCTACTTTGAGTAGCAAAACTCAGGCTTCTCCTTCCACCCAAGCCTTGTAGGGCCACAGGGGGAGAACAGCAGAAATAAAGAAGGTTTTTTCCAGCAGTGGTTCATACCTGGAGTCTTTGGCCGTGGTGTGTACAGGAAGCAAGGCATGGATGCACTCAGTGCCCTGATGCTTGCTACAGCCCCCAGCCAGGGCTCACACCCACACTGTAGCTTCCACTACACCACAGCTTCAAAAACCTCAAACTAAACAAAACACCCCAAAGCAACCCGAAGCTGTAGCAAACACAACCCAAAAGGCTGCATCAGCCTGGAGCAGGCAGCTGCCCAAGGCCATGCTAGAGGGAGCAGCCCAGGCTGTTTCCCACAGCGCAAGCTGCTCCCAGGCAGATTGATTACAGCAGCACTGGGGAAGGAGGTGACAAATCACCTTCAAAGCAAGCTCATGGAACAGATCAAGTCCCACCTCTTTCCTGGCTTCACTCCCAGCTCATATCCCATCACACCAGGTGCCATCCAGTGCAAGGACCCAAGCAACCCACCCCCTGGGCCACAGCTCCTGCCTTCTGCAGCTCAGCAGAAGCATGAGAGCAGCTGGGCTTCATCCAAGTGCAGAGACAGTTGGGAATGAGAGTTTGGCAGCAGCAAGAAGCAGCCAAGGCAGCTCCAGGGCTCCACAGACATCCGCAAGAACTAACTCTGCCCTTCCTGTCAGCCCTGGAAAGGGCAGTGAAGGTACCATGAGAGCTCCTCATCCCCATCCTGCCTCCCTGACCTTGTCCCCCAGCAATAGCCAGTGTCAAAAGGGGCCTTGCAGAAGCATCCCTGGGGCAAGGATAAAAATGAAGCCGAAGCCCTTCTGTGACTAAGGCCCCAGCTCCAAGCAAGGCAGACACAGTTTGCCCTTACACAAATAAATTTTTATTGAGGCGAGTCAGGGACAGGGGAGCTGCACATGGACAGACCAACAGGAAAATAAATAATTCCATATAAATAAGATACATAAATAGTCCCACACGGCAGAGACTGCCTTGAAACAAGAAACATCCCTGGGTCCCAGCGAGATGAGGGCTTTTCCAGGCAAGCCCTCGGATCCCCCCCCCCCCCCCCCCTTTTCAACACCCCACATTTTCCCGG